AGGAATGCCATGTTGCTGACCTTGACACCTTTAAACACCTTCATAACAGCAATTACACATGCACGCACACATAAGAACCTTCCATCATTCGTGCACAATGCTCCCTTTGTGCGTTTGAGTGTGTGTTGTGTGTGTGTGTGTTTGGATTCTGCATGCATGCATATGTGGATGTGTATATTGGGCCCCCTTCACGGGGTCAATGGGGGCCATTTACTAGTAGAACTATAGTCATGTTTGGGAGGTGACTAAGAGAGGACGCTTTTTCCTGCCGAACCCCAATCGCATTATCATTAGATTTCCTTCATCAGAAATTGCAGAAACACCCTTCAACCCCCGTTCTGCCTTGTTCAACAAGCTTCTATTTGTTGCGCTGTAAACCTGGCCGCAACATATGCAAAGTTGCTTTGATCAGTCTTTCATGAAGTTTAATGACCGCTCATTAATCAGTACTTTTTAGCTGTCAGTGATTAATCTTCCTCATTCATTCTGAATCCTCAGTTGAGTGATCATTGGCCTCAAATGTGTGGGAGATGGGACGCTAATTGCAGTGATTGTGGTGTTTTGTGTCGACTTGTCAGCGGGTGAGAAGTTGAAATAAAGGACAACAGGCTGAAGGATCACTTTGATTTGTTATGACATCTATCTTGTTTATATGTAAGACAAGTAATTTAATGCAGCATGGCTGAAATTAGTGATGTGCCATAAGATGTAGTCATGCATAGGAAAAAAGAAATTGGTAACTGTTTGAATTTGTTGGTTATATAAAATACAAGGGAGGTGTTAATTCAAGCCTAATCTTGCTTGCTGGAATTAAAAACAATTAAAGTGTGCATTAAACTCCCATTAGACTGTGTTCACACTTGATTTAATTGCTTGGTCCAAATGTTTATATCCTCAACTCCCTATATAGTGAACACATTGTATATCATTTCATACCCATAATGCACTCTGATTTATAGTGTACAGCCAATGTATACAAGCTGGTACTATGTTGTATATGAACTGGTGCTGCTCTTTCACTTTTTTAATAAGTCATACATTGATTAAAGAAACATTAAAATGTAGTGAGTCATAATTATTTATAATATTTGTTTTTATCTGTTAATAAAGTTTAATGCCACATGTTTTATCTTTTTTTTGTTCACTTATTTCCCATGCAGTGAACTAAACTATTGTTCAAAACTTTGGAGTCGGTAAGATTTTAAAAATATTTTAGTAAGAAGACTTTTATGTTGACCAAGGCCACATTTTTTAAATCGTAAAAACTGTAAAATTGTGAAATATTATTACAATTTAAAGTAACAGTTTTCTATTTTAATATGTTTTAAAATGTAATTTAATCCTGTGATGTAAAGCTGAATTTTAGGCATCAGTCTTCAGTGTCACATGATCCTTCCGAAAAAAATTTAATCAATGTTGAAAACATTTGTGCTGCTTAATATTTTTGTGGGAACTGTGATTTTTTTCAGGATTCTTTGATAAATAGAAAGTTCAAAAGAACAGCATTATGTGTCTTTGAAAGTGAAAAGTGAAAGTGACGTGACATGTGGCCAAGTATGGTGACCCATACTCGGAATTAGTGCTCTGCATTTTAACCCATCCAAAGTGCACACACACAGCAGTGAACACACACACCGTGAACACACACCCGGAGCAGTGGGCAGCCATTTTTGCTGCGGCGCCCGGGGAGCAGGAGGGGGGTCGGTGCCTTGCTCAAGGGCACCTCAGTCGTGGTATTGAAGGTGGAAGAGAGCGCTGTACATTCACTCCCCCCACCTACAATCCCTGCCGGTACGAGACTCGAACCCGCAACCATTGGGTTACGAGTCCGACTCTCTAACCATTAGGCCACGACTTCCCTTTTTTTTTTTTTTTTTAAGAAAAATAAAACTTTGCTGAATAAAAGTATTAATTCCTTTAAAAAGCGGTAAAATACATGTAGAAAATAGTGATTCAGTGAACAAGTGAGCGATTTTGGACACGGCAACAGTGCTCTGGTCCCATTTTCATCTTCACATGATCACGTGCATGTCAGTGTTCAGATTCTGTGCGTCTGAGAATACCATGGAAAAAACAGCACATAAATTACCTCTTTCTTCTCCCTACGAATCCATTTTGGAGTAATCTTTATGACGTACTTACACTATGTCCTTCCATCGCTTTGATATGGATTCCCAAAAAAGGGTTATTTCTGTTAGCGCACGATTATGGTTTTCATTAAGTTACAAGAATATGTGAATTGCCAATTAGTGCTGCACTAAAGAAGCACTACAGTTCGTCCCGTGCCGTGTGCCACTTTGTATGTTCCCATGGCCCATTTGCCTTGAGTATGACTCCTCTTTTTCTCTCTATCTTTTTTTCTCATCTCCGTCTCTCCCCTCTCTTTCTCTCCTGCGCGTCTGTCTGTCACTCTGATTAGAGACGGCGGGGTCGTGCCACAAAGGAGGCCACAAACCAGGTCTCTTTCTCTGTCTTGCTCATTTTTAGTCATTTGCTTATGCACCAGCTTATGTATTCAGAGTTTTACACCCAGAGCCTTCTTCAAATTAACATCAATTGCTGGTAGACGTCAGTTTTTCCTCAAATGTTAATTAGAGGCTAATGATTGAGGTTGAGCATTATGTGTGAAATGTATAATGGCTAATGAAAGACGAATGTTGTTTGTCATTTATTTTGCCATCGCTTTCATTTAAAGATGAAGTGTGGGTTTCGTCGCATTCTCAGTATTTGGAAGTCCCCAGAGATGAGGTTTGCATACAAGAAGTAGTCAAGGCCTGGCCTATGTGCTTGTGCTCGCTAGTAGCATTAACGCTGAATTGTTAATTTAGCACTTACGTGCAAATGCTTTACAAATGTCATCTACTACCTTTGAGTTTCCACTGACAACTGCTCCCGCTCTGAGAGTGAGAAAGGGAGGCGGTGGAGGAAAAGAATGAGAGATAAGGAAAAGAGAAGGCCACCTACAGACTCACATTCGTTTCTCACTCCAGCCCACATTTAGCACTCTCAATAACAATTGCATTTTTCTGAGTAAACAACCTTGAAGAACATTCTGTTGCGTTCAATCCATATGCCACGACACTGTGACACTTAGCTTCGCACACATAATAAGCTATAATTTCAGCGTCTGTTGGATCCATGGCCTTTTCTGCAAAAGGTTATTGCAGACTGTATATTTATAGTCCTCAACTTATATTTATGACTGTCAAACTTATCTTCGATGCAAACAATTCTACTTTTATTTTAAAAAAAAAAACTTTAAAGGGGTCATATAATGCGATTTCAATTTTTCCTTTCTCTTTGGAGTGTTACAAGCTCTTGGTGCATAAAGAAGATCTGTAAAGTTGCAAAGACTAAAGTCTCAAATCCAAAGAGATATTCTTTATAAAAGTTAAGAACCAACCACGCCTACCTAAAATGCCTCGTTCTAACACCCCCCCACATGTCTACGTCACGATGTGGGAATATTTGCATAACACCGCCCAAATGTTCATGCAAAGAAAGAAGGCGTAACTTTTATTCTCGCTGTAGTATTGTTGTTGCCGCCGCCATGTCGTGAAGACGCTGTGTGTTTCGTTGTGAAAGCGAAACTACTTTGTTTGGCCTTCCAAAAGAGGA